CGGAGGGTTGATTTTGTGGGTGAAAATATTCTGGAACGTGGCCATGGATGAAAAGAATTATATATTTGTCCTAGGACACGTCTTAGTTTTAAGTTTGGTAGAGGACCATAACCGGAGGAATAATTTTGCACTCTCAAAAAAAGAAAACGATTCGCTTACTACAGATACTTGTTATTTGGCCCGAAACGCATTCAAAGTGCATACAACACCGTGATGTTGCATGCTTTTTTGTGGTAACCTGTGATTGGGTCTATTCTCGTGTTTACTGCGCCTGCCGTCCCCAATTCCCCACTCAACTCGCCACACCGGCTACTACGACGCAATTTGTCATGTCTCCCAGCTCCGGACGTCACAGAGTTTAAAAGCTACCAGTTGCCACTTTCTGCTGGTCCCTAGGCTTTTCTTTTCTATCCACAGCACTCCACCCGTCCATCCGGCCCAAGCTTACAGCTAGATGAAGGAACAAAGCATAGGCCTCCACCACCCGTGCCAACTGCCTATTTGTTCCGTGTTTTCATTTTTTCAAAACTTAGATGCCGACATATGTATATTTATTTATATTATTGAGTTTATTTGTTTTAGGTAAGTGAGATGGCTTGAACTCGGGACGACGGTCTTATTTAGTTATAGTTCTTTCTTTTTTTTTTTTTTTTTCATCCAATCCAACCCTTTTCAAGTGCCTACATAATTAATAATCTATAAATAGATTGAGGAACAACACGAGTCCCTTGTATTTAGTGGAGGACACACAGGGGGGAGGATTGACTTAGTGTGCGCACGATTAATTTGTTGGGAGTAAATTTGGTAGTGCTGCAGGATTATTACGTCGTAGGAATGAGTTAAAAAGGCTGTTGAGACTTTCGTAAGAATGCAACTAATGCACGGCTTAGAAAATTTGTCAGGTCTCGTAGGATTAAGAAAGCAAATTTCGAAAGAAATAACCACACACAATTACAATATTATATATATATATATATATGCATGTACGATGTGACATACAGTAAGCTTTCGCAATAATGTTTGTCTCTGGTGGTGCAAATTACCACTCTTTTTAACATAGCAAAAGAAAGTTGGAATAGCATATGCATGTGCAGGAATAGGATACTTTTTAACCTCATCCTTAGCAAGAACATGGTTAAACCTTGGACTTTCCCTCTCGACAAAATTCGAGAGGTCGTAGATTCTTGGCCATTTCCCTTTACCGCTAGGTTGAAACTTTAAAGACACAGTCCACGTTTCGATTCACCGGGAAAAGCTTGCTGTTCTGTCGGTTTAGCCGACGAAGTGCTGAGAATCAGAATAAGTATATAATGGAACGATTCTTCTGGTGCAGCGGGAAAGCAGTGCGCGCGTCTTCAAGCACTTGTGCAGTAAATATTCGTTTAATAAAAATGTCCCTAATCCAATTATATACAAAGCTAAGCTAGCTAGTTTCTGCTCATCTTCATACTATTGAACATGGAGATCGACACAGACGGAAAATGAACAGGTTAACCCGGCCCGAAACCTGATTACATTTACATCTACGTACTCGCTGTCTTTCTCAGCCTGCAGCTTATCCGACACGTGTAAAAAAAGTACTACTAGTTTCGTTCTTTGTGTTGATTTTCATTACTACTAGTAAGTACATCTTTTGATTTACAGAAATCACATTCACATAGCATCTCAAGGGTCCCGAGAGATGGCGTCTATTCTAAGACGGGGGTGAGTTTCTGGTAGTATTTATTTAGTGCAAAGTTCGAAAACTCAAAACTCTCACGCTATCGAGTCTATTGCTCAAGTAATTAAAACGTGACCTTTTCTAAATTTGCAATTACACTGAATAGTGCTATCACTTTTCAAAGCTAAACTCGAACTCGAAACCTCTGAATGAATGAATCAAGATTCCCGAGGACGAGGAGACAAGAAACTTGAAACTCACGTATTGGTGCTGCTAACCGATACCAGTTAAAACTTAAAAGAGCTAGAGGTGAATCATGAATGAGCCCAGGATTTCTGAATTCGGACCAATATTACATTGTATACGTAGTATTAATTCTTAAACAGTTAAAAAAGGTACAAGCCTCGCGTAACAACAAACTTCAAAGTCCTGTTTAGATGGCTGTTTCTAAGAATTTTAATATGTATATATATATATATATATATATATATATATATATAAGATTAAAATGTGATTTAGAAACGTGTACAACGTAAAATTTTACTTTGAAATGTAGCAATCCGTTGAGCTGGCAAAGGCTGTTACGGCCTATACATGGCACGTTTGTTCTTCGTATTCACGTAGTGCTGCGATTTTAATCAACAGCAGTGCCATATAATTATTACTGGAAGACAAAAGAGAATGAAAGGGTGGCTCTGCTCAAGTAATGGTTGTTTGATAATGCTAACTGTGTGGAGAGCTACAAATCGAGGCGATGAGGATAGATGTGGTTTATTTATTTATTTACGTTTGTTTCTTTCTTTCTTTTTTTGGGAGAGAGAAGGATGGATGTGCTCATAAGCTTGATTGTGACTGAAAAGCTTAACTTTTAGAAAATGGAGGACAGATGAGATGAGTCATGAGAGCGAATATAAATGGGGAAAATAATCAAGGAAAAAGATGGGAGGTGGGAAAGGACTGGGGAGGTATTCTTGTTTTGTCGTAGCTAGTATTCGTTCCCATCCGACGTTTGTTTCCTGGACTTTCCATGTTTGGAAAGATTGACGACAATTGATGTATATAAAATTATATCTATGGGGTTTTTGAGTGGCCACGACGATGCTTATCATTCTAACCATTCCTTCCCTTTGCGTGGTCGTGGTGTTAATGTTAGATGGTAGAAACGAGAAAGGCAGCTGACGATAAGATCCATACTGTCCCCGTTAGGTAAACCCTCGCCTCCTTCCTTCTCTGTCGATTTCCTTCACCTTCATTATCATATATGCCCCCATACATGGTCCCCATTTCATGGGGGGTTTTTTTTTTTCCCACAATAATTTATAACATGATTATTGTTGAAAAAGTTTCAGTCTAGTGTTTAAGATTAAAACTCCAGAAATTTAATTTTTTAAATTCTACATCTTCCTTTCTTTAGGGAAGAAAAAAAAAACAAATATGCATAGCTGCATTATCAACTTAGTGGTTTACGTAGCATGTGTTACACTTGATCAAATGTTTCGCAAAGATGAGGTTGTCGAGGCAAGCGGAGAGGTTGTAGATTCAAGCTTCAGTAATATGTGGAGCAGTTCTTTTTTTTTTTTTTTTTTTGAATTTATGTAGCAAATAGAAACTTAATGACAATTGTAAAATAGGTTTCCCTTATTGACTAATATATGTAAAAGGAATGACACTCATGTATTTTCTTTTCTTTTTTGCTAATAAATTTGTTACGTACAATAAGGCAACAAAGGCGCACCCCCCAAAAAAAAGGAAAAATCGACTTTGTTTGGATTGTAAGTTATTTGAGATATTTTTACTGTAGCACTTTTTGTGATGTGATGTATGTGAGATGAAAAGGTAATTGGGAAGGTAAAAAGGTGTATTGGAAACTGTAATGATGATGTAAACAAATATATTTTGGGAAATAAAGGGCAATCCAAACAAACCGCCTTTCATAGTTAACAGTACCAAATACTACATCTTTCACTTTTCTAGCCGTGAAGTGAAGGGCTGATTTTCTTAATCAAGAAGGTCTTCCTCACTCTTGTCATGCAATTCCAGGTGAACTATCTTACCATTTGAATTGGGATACATTGTCACAATCTTCTTTTGAGTGCAATGCGAATCTTTATTGAGAAAAATGCCCCTAATATATTGGCCTTTTCTTTTTATTATTCCCATTTCTCTTGCTTATTCTCTATTTTTTATTTTTTATTTTTTTTTTGGGTTATGGGGTTTACCCTTTTTCCCTCTCCTGGTACGCTCTAAGGAAAAAAATGAAAAGGTCAAAGAAAAGATTAGAACATATATCTTTCAACCAATATCTATCACTTTGGCAAGGATTAAATGGCTAATGAAGAAGTTTAAGAGAAGAAAAATCATATAATTATTTCAAGAGTTTTTAGGGTTGTTTTAGCCTTCTCATATACAACTATTGATACTACGCCCCGTCTTCATGACTTTCTTTTGCTCGGCCTCCACCACCTGCTCCACCTCCATGCTCATAATGGCAAACCCCACCCCCCCCCCCCCCCCCCCCAAAAAAAAACCCCAAGCCCACAAAAAAAAAAAAAGGAAAAAAACACATTCCGGTAGGTGTAGATCTCTGATGATTTATCACATTCCTAAAAACCAACTTGTCCACTAACATTTCCATTAATGTATACTGCTTCGTTACCTTTCTTAATCTCTTTGGGTCTTTGCTGCTTTTGCAAATATGTTAACAGTTTTCAACAACCAGAGATGACCGCGAATTTCCAGTTAAGGAAACCGGACGATGCTTTATTGTCTAATGATTGCGACAAAGCCTGGAGGAATCTTCAATGTTTTGTGCCTACTGCCCCTGGAGTTCGACACTGGACTGAAAACGTCAGCTACCTATTCAACCCCGCATAAATAAGAGCAGACAACAACGTGGTTTTCTAGAATTGCGCACGTTTTGGTCTTCCAATCCCGACATTTTTCGCTCTCTTTCTTTTGGCTCTTAAATCTGTCAATTTGCAATTCTCCTCTCTTCCGCGGAAATCTCTGCGATTGACTCCAGTAGCGGAAATTAACTCCAAGACTTTCTTAATTAGGGAATCCCTTTGTCATTGCCATTTTAATAGCAAGAGTTTTTTTTTTTGTCGTATAAAAAGAATTTTAATTTTAGTCTTCCTTGTTCTGACTTCTTTTTTCCTATCCTTTTCCATTTCTACAAAAGCTATCCCTTAACTAATAATATGGGCGCAATAATTTCCTAAGAAATGTTTTTTGAAAAAGAATTTGGGCAATGTAAAAGGCATTATTCATTATAAGGATGGTTTTGAGCAATTTAACCAACCAACACGTAATCTTCCCTACTAAATTGCTAAAATCCATCTAGATGGGCAAAGAGAAGCGTTTAATAAATTTCTCAAAAGGAAGTGTACACCTCAACTCCGTGCATCAGATTTCAACACCATCTGTTACCCCTGGAAAATGAAACGATGAGGGAAGGTCGTTTCACGAATATAAGAAATCTACCAGGTGAGATAATCCACAAAAAAAATAAAAATAAAAAATCATGCGATATTGGCATTGGGAAGAAGGCTAGATCAGGATAAAACAGAATTTGGGCCAAATGGCGGGATAGATTCATTTTCCTCTGAAGGCTGGAATGCTATAGACATCTCGCTATCAGCTAAGCAATCTCTTTCTTACGTTGTTGTCCAGCGAAGGTACTTGTGATCCAGATTCAGTCTTTATTATCACTGGTCCTGAGGTCCCAAAGCATTACAAGTTATTCCAATTAATTAGCGCATCATGAACCTGGATACGAAAAAGTAAATAAAATCAGCAAATTTGTTATTTCAATAGCAGACCGTTTAAGGCTTAAAAACGAGGGACGGCTGAAGGTATTAAAAGAACGCGGCCATATGGCAATATTTTACAAGCTGCCTCTGAAACTGATCCAGCCAAAATCAACAAAATTTCAAATTCCCATGTGAGTTCTTACAATGATTGTATGGAACTTTAAGGTCGGCAATATCTAATAAACTGGCAGCTGGAATACCTTGGATAGAACAAATGATACTCTCAGGAATTATCATCCTTCAATAACATTCAGAAATATCAACACTCCAAAAAATTTGGAACTGGATGCACACGGACTCTTTTCATGAGCAGCATGCTTAGCTCTAACGCTTCGAATTATTCAACACAGGTTACTGGACACTATTAAATCATACAGAAATAGTGCAGTGGCAAAATACCTGAAAAAGAAACTCATATGCAAAGTGCACGCGTATCAGGTAGCCCTCCTTCAGATTGATCATGATTCAAAATATATTTTGAATTATACAACACAGGTTACCGGACACTATTACATCATACAGAAATAATGCAGTGGCAAAATACCTGAAAAAAGAAGCTCATATGCAAAGTGCACCCATATCAGGCAGCCCTCCTTCAGATCGATCATGATTCAAAACATTTTTTGGTGCTTTCTTGCGTTGCTTTTTGTCTTTTCTATCATTGCCATCATCAACTGATTGTTTTCTGAAAAGATAATATGTGATCAGCATTAGGAAAGGAAAGGCAGGTTTATGCTGCATGGAGAGGGGTGAAGAAGAGTTCCTGGAAAGAATATATTTCACTCCTCATTTCCTTGGATTTTGAAATACTGTAATTATGTTTCGGATGACATCTGAGTTTAGATATATTTACACCCGGTTGCACGTCCTCAGCTCAATTTTATACTTATGAGTTCATGAATACTCTTCGTCCATTAAGCTTTATATACCCAACAGTTAAGCAATGGCCAGCTGTGTTCTCCACAATGAAATGGCTGTCCTTCAAAATCTTCTCTTTAGTTCTTAAAGTATATGAATATCACAGAAGAAACCAATGTCATTCTTCACTAGCCTAAACATGCTTTAATCAACAAGTCTAGCATTCCTGCGAAAGATTAAGCCTGAGTTTTCAAATCATCCTGATTTAAGTTTATAGACCCCTTGCATCTTCCCTTGTGTATTTCTGGGCAGACTAAAATTTCACATATGCACTTCCACTTCTACTAAACCTTCTGCCTTGCTCTAATAAACTGACTTCTATTTCAACTTTAAATACCGATTACTTCTATGAAATGAATTCCATATATATCAATCTCAAATATGACGCATTTACCTGCAAACATAGTACCACCATACATAAATCCATTAATTTTTGGAGAGTTGTGGGATGAATACTCATCCAAAGGTCAAAGTTCAAGTATGAAAGATGGCATGCAACAGAACGAACATGGTGCACGTAGTCCAGCTGAAACAGAATAGGTACATTGCAGGACTGCTGAAGTGTTCCGTAATGATAATGTTGCAATAAACCATCCAAACTAGATTGTAACAAGATTCCCCTCTAGAGCCAAGTTGCCTGATGATTTACTTCCAAAGGAAGAATGGCAGCCATTGCACTCCATAGTATCCTAGAACTCGAAGAAGCAACTTTGACCAAACTCATAACACGAACCAATTTATGGCTTTTGGCTTTTAAGTACCCAAAATTTTGATTTTGTAGGAAAATCCAGAAAAACTAATTAAGCGGTATTCAGGAAGCATACCCCGAAAATCTAGCAGAAGATTTTCCAGCAACTGATCCACAGCAAGACTTGTATTTCTTTTTTGAACCACAAGGGCATGCCTTGTTTCTTGGAATTTTCTACAAAAATATCAATGGAAAGAAATGTACCCTTCAAATATAGCATAAGAAGGAGAAGGGAGAGCATTAAGAATCCCAATTCTTATAACCAAAAAGTAATGAAACCTTGTCATCCAACGATAAGCTATTCTCAATCTGAGTCATTTGTGTATTTCCTGTCTTTTTTTCATTTTGCATGCTTTGCTGCTCAAGTATTTCACTGTCATGCTCACCTGGCCATGTGAAAATGTAATAGTGCAGCACAAAAGGAGGTTCTTAGCTAATAAGACAAACCAACTGAAAAAGAAAAAGTATAAGGGAGAGAGATGACTTGTTAAAAATGGATATCTGTGTAAGTTTCTAAATCCATTTTCTTCTTCCTTTTTCCCTTTTAGTATTTGTAAGTTTGGGCAGGGAAGGAAGGTCAAGTGAATTCAACAAACAGAGGAACTGTTTGGCAGTGCAGTAGTAAAAATTAGGATGAATAATATTGAAAACTTCAATGCAATACGCCAAACAGAAGTCTGTCCCAATAATACTAGCTAATGCTAAAAGTAAGGCTGCAATAGCTTTAGACCAGACACTGAATAAAAGAAGAACAACAAAAGGATTTCGGAAATGCGAGGCCTACTGGGCTGGATACAAGATATGATCAGAAGGGTTACATTAAAAAGGAACTAACTGGCCATTACCATGAACAGTGTTTTCTGAAATATAAAGCTGAACATTTTCTTGTAAACTCTCTTCAGAATTTTGTTGAGCTATTAGATACTCAATTGCAGCATCATCATCGCCACCTACTTCTTGTAAAACCTGGGTTTTAGCTGATATTAGAAGGAGGGAAAGATTTCCCTGAAGCTCCATGAACTTAAAAAGTAATTAGTAGAAGCAAGATAGGAGCGGCAATGCATGCTTATGAAGTACGCAAAGCTACAAGGTAGAACTTCTTCCCAATTATTACCTTTTTAACCTTTTCAACATCTTCACATCCACTTCCTGTCATGACCATTTTAAGACACCTTGGCTGAACATTATTACCAGCAATGTCTCCCATTGACTTCGTGGTGGCACTTTTTGCGTGATGAGATGTCGCTGAAAGATCAGCATCAGCCTTTCATATACTAGAGGTTATCAGACTTCTAGGAAAGATGTCAAAGAGACAGAGCAAAAAGGGCATCCAGGTCATATGGATCAAATTATGAATTTTCATAACAGAGGAAAAACAATGAAACTAAAGATGATAATGACAGAAACCTTGATTACAATTGGCCTTGCTGGTCCAGCACAAGTGTCATCCTTTGATCTGACACTGTTGTAATGCTCTCCATCATGATAAGAACTGCAAACAGATACACAAGTTATGCTGCCGATACCAAGTATCTCTCAACAATCAACATGGATAAAGCATGTTTTCTGTTATCTCATGGAATAAGTAAATGAAGATATGCCTAATGGAACAATTAAAACGAAAACAATCCTAACTAGTGGCTTTTTGGAATCTTCAAGGTCAGAGTTGGGATTACACACTGCTGCCAGCCAAATGGAGATCAGGATGTGAAAGAAAGGCAAGGAAACACAAAAGTTAGAGACCTTAATTTCTTCTACCAGAATGTAAAAGCCCCAACAAAGAAATTAAACAGATTAATGTCAGAAACAACTTTCATCCAACCAATTTATAACAGATAATGTGATTAAGTAACGAAGGAGTTACTTCTTCTCTCCTTACATTTTTGCTCTGGTAAGACTTGTTGATTGTGGCGCTTTATGAATCCATCTAATTATCATTAACTTGTCATGCATGTCACCTGCCACTTGCTTCTGGCATGATTGAATTTAATATGTTAAAATTAACTGTCCGGCGGCAAAAGATTTTTTTTTTTTTTGGATGGAACTCAAGTCAATATTAATCATTATTTTTTTGGCATAGTAATAAATATATTAATCTTTGAATAAAACTTATTGAGTAGATACTAATCTAGACTTGAACAACAATCATGCGTGCAACCAGAAAGTAAAGAAAAGCACATCCTCGCAATCCAAGTATATTCAGCACTGGATATAGACTATTTCGAAAAGTGAAGAATATATAACCAACAAAATACTTTTTGCATAAAAACCCAACAAAACCAATTCCAACCCCAGGCACTCTACATTGCAGGTTTGCATTGATAATAGAGATTGGCTTGTCTATAAATTTATTCCCCAATTCAAGAAACATTGACAAGCAGTACCTTTGAGTCCTCACCAAAAAAAAAAAAAAACGAAGAAATACTTTTGCTAACAATGTCTTGAAGGTCCTGCATAGATTGGGCAAAGGTAGCATCTGAAAATCATGCATGTGCTTACAGATGGATCATTTTGGCTTCACAATTGTCAAAATTCTGTATGTACCAGCGAGGAGAAATATGCTGCAAAACACATGAAGGTTAATCAGAAGTCTGCTCATAAAGTACTAGGAAATAACTTGTGACAACTTTGACCCAAGGCACCACTCAAATGCAGATCAAGTGAAGGTAGGTAAACTTTTTTCATTGCCTGTGGTCATGGAAAAACTTTAACAATCTGTGGAAGAAGAAGAGAGTTTACTCGGTGAATGCATATATTACAATGAGTGACAAGCGAAGCAGCTTGCAATTCCATATGTCCTGCCCAAGTCCCATCCTTTTCCATTGACTGACAATATTCATCAAATGGTACCTCATCCTCAATAAAAGGCTCGAACATTTCTCGATTTTTCTGTTAAATATAGCTCCACTAGTCAGTTAGGTACAATAACTTCTAGGTTCAGAGCCTATGGAATGTAACAGTGGACCAGGCAGAGCAAGAAAAGCCTACAATAAAGATGCCCAAAGAACATGAAAGCAGGTTTACTCAAACATCAAATAAACAGAATGCTACCTAACTAACAACCCAAATCTACAAAACATACACAAAATAAGTGTGATATTTGACATCATTATAAAAACAAAGAGTCTCACAAATTGAAAAAAATTATATTGACATCCTTATCGACGTAAGATTCAGTTAGTCTCAGCTTAAAATCATTTAAAGGAAAATTTCAAAGCAATTGAGAACGCCTAATACAACTACTAGCTTATAAAAAATATAACCAGCTGAGTTTGAGCTGTTGAGAACGAAATATATGACAAAAACATAAATTGTGTATCCTAAGTAACCATAAATGGAACAATTCTTTAGTGTAATTTCTCCAAATGACCTACTTGATTAGGATGAGAAACATTTAGATACCGTTTAAAAAAGCAGTCAAAGCATAATGTTCTCAGTCCAATTTTAAAAGCAAGACAAGACTAAACAAGCAATCGAGCAACAGGTCCAGCAATTTTTCAAGCCCTAACTCAACGCTCAAGTATTAATTTTGTTTCTTTAAGCGATGGATATTAAGAAATTAAAAGCATCGGTAAAATACTATACCATTATAAAACGGACTACCATATTCCGATATTTCTCATGCTCTTCCTCATTGCCTTCCAATTGATCCGCTAATGCTCTGCCCAAACAGCAACTACTTTCTCAAGTTACCACAATTACAATTACCAATAAAGGAATACTGACAAGGGGAAAAAATAGAATACCAAGAAGATTATCAAATTATCGCACACCTGAAGAAACAATTACCATCTGCAGTGACTTGAATTATTTTTAGGCCCAAAGCATCCAGCTGCTGCTTAAATTCAGATATATCAGCTTGCTTTCCAGCCTTTTTTATCTGTTCCCACAAATTAGGAGAAAAAACAAAAAAAAAATATGGAATTAGAAAACTAAAGAGCATTAGGGTTTTAATCAGAGCATTTCAATCAAGGTTCAAATTAGACTGGTTATACGAAATACCGGGGGACTTTTCACTTACGTGGGCAGATTTGGCGGTTGGTTTAGATTTTTGGTGCTTTGTTTTAACCATACTTTCTTAACTAAAAAAAAATTGGCGCGTTTATGATGCAATTTTCCCAAATATAATAAAAAAAACTTGGCACACAGTTTTAAAATTTTAGTAAATTAACCTATTGCGTATACTTTTGCAAGAGTCTCCCATAACCCAAGTCCATCGATAAGAACATATTATTATATGACTATAATTGGACTTTTAAACGCTTCTCCTTTTCCTTTTCTTCTTGCCTTATACACAATTTAAAATCTTCCTTGAACTTAAAAAAGGGGAAAAAGGAGAAAGAAAAATATAGTGTATATTCAAAGGATGCGTGAATCTAAATATATCTAAATAGTACAATATATTAAATTTCTTAAGGGAGCTGCAAATGGGCCTGTTCAACAAGCCCGATTAGTAAATAAGATTGGGCTGAGTTAAGCAAAAATATAGGTTTTGCCCCTTCGAAGTCCAGCCCGTCTACTAATAGTGAATTAATTATGTACTAGCAGAAGAGGCACACTTTAGGGGGTGAGCAAATTGAAAACAGAGTTTCTTTTTCACAATAAAATGGTAGGATTTTTTTTTTTGGGTAAATATAGAAGTAATTAATACAGAGTTTAATTTGCAGAGAGAGAGAGAGAGAGAGAGGCAAGTTATTGGAATTTTTTTTGAAAGGAGGTTATTAGAAGTTAGAATAAAAGAAGTTACAAGAAGTTGTTGAAATTGGATAAGTACTATTAGTTTGTTTGTGGTGATTTTATGCACTATAAATTTTTACTTATTTGGATGTAAAACTGAAATAACAAATAATGACAACAAAAATTTAAACACCAAAGGAAAGGCAATGCTCGTACTTTATATATGGAAAGACATGTTAAGTATAATTGGGAACGTAAGAGTAATGAATGAAACAAATGACTAGAGTAATGGGAGGTGGTTGATGATGGGTACTAGGTAACACATTCCCCAACTATCTGCAACAAATTTGTCTATTGTATGCCTCGGTAGGTTCTCTATTCAGGTTTCTTGATTTCTGATTAATATTCGTACTTGAATTGGAAAATCATGTTTAGAGTAGGATTTCATTGAAAATAAAAAGTATGGTAACTTAGAGCTTGCTACTTCATCAGTTAAATAGCAGTTTGGAATGGTTAGACTGTCGTTTTCCCAAAACTAAACGGTGGCTGCAGCGCTTTCATGTGATTTATCCATTTTAGTTTGCTTTCCTCTCTTGTAGCGGTCCTCCAATTTTGCAAGACACTGGCCTGTCTTCTGTGCCAAAAAACCCTTACATTCTCTAGATATTTTATGATGCTCATTGAGTCATTTTGAACTGACACTACAACAACTACTAATTTAATTACACACTAATTCACCGTCTAACTTTTTTTTTTTTTTTTGGACGGGGAAAGGGTAATGGGTTCAATCATTGCATCCCACCGATCACTATTTGTGACTTTCTCCTCTTCTCCTCTTAGATTAATCTAGAATAAATTATACAAACTATTATCGTTGCTGATAAAAAAAAAAAAAGAAAATAAAAGATACTACTGTTTCCTTGCTAAACTCACCGGAATTGCAGTAAAATTTTTAACCCCAGTAGTTGATCCAAGAGAGACAGCCAGCCACTCAACCGCCCTGCCAGCAAGGTCTTTGTTGGCTAAGCATTGAGTTCTTTTCGCCTGTGACAGTGAAAATTACCGCGCAACGTTTTTTTTCCATCATTTACCTCACAAAATGTCGAAAGGAATCAGTCAGACGAGAGAAGAAAAGTTACTTTACAACATCGGTTCTGAATTTTGCTAATAATGTGGTTCTTAATTTTTATTTTTTTTTTTAAAGTCGAGCAGCGTATACGAACAACATCAATAAACTGCATCATTGATTACGTATATAAATTTTTGTACCAATATTCGACAAATATCGACTGGACTACTTATATACAGAGGTGGTTCTTATTTGATAATCAACTAAGGTGGTAGAACAATCCTTAAGTAGAAAATTCTACAAAGAGAGATGCCTAAATGGTACGTTGGATCGCGGAAGAGTGGAACAGAAGCATGCGAAAAGATTGTCACATAAAGTTTTGAGTCACCAAAAGAAGGGAAGAAAAAGGGGCCCCGGCCGTCTGCAAAGTCAACTACCATTGCGATTGATAAAAAAGGTTAAGGAAGACTCCAAAAGCAGAACGAACGAAGCGAACAAACATTGACAATGGATTAAGGTTGTAAGCATCTGTCGAAAAGGCAATCAATTGTCAAACCACCAACAGCAAAGTCGAATTGATGGCATAACTTTTACTTGGACCTAAACCTTGAGGCCTAATGATGATAATTAAAAGCTCAGCTGCACAGCCTGTTTTAAGTTTTCAAATCATTGCTCAAAAAAAAAAAAAAAAAAAAAACTCTCAAACCATGGATATGTATTGCGGAATTTCACATCAGTAGGCCCTAGCATTTCAATCGCCACACTCATCCAAGTTTGTTGAAGCTATCATGAAATCGGATGTAACGTTACTTGATGTAACACATGTGCTGGGAAATAAATGCTTTTAAAGAAACCCCAACAATCCTTTAAAAAAAACAATTAAAGAAAAAGGTTCATTTTTTTATGGAGTAAATTGCCCAACGATCCCCAAACTATTATTTTATACGTTTTTAACCCTTAAACTATATCATGCATCATTTAAATCCATAAACAAATTAATATGTAAGTTTTTGGCCTTTCTGTTAATTTTTGCTATTTGAGCTAAGTGAATGGAGGGAGAGAGGAAGAAGAGGCAATAGCTAGTCTGTCCTTTCTCTGTCTTTTTTTTAAAGGTTTGTCCCTCCATTCTTTTATATTTATATATATATAATTTCTTTAAATAGCAAATAGGAGGTCTTGAATCCATAACCCTTCACTTATATCTGTTCTCATATACCATTCAACCCATACTTCTCCCACGAAGGTTTGTCCCTCCACTCAGTTAGTTCGAATAGCAAAAATTGGTAAAAAAACTCTAAAAACTTACGTATTAACTTGTTTAATAGGATAAACAATATAGAGTAATATAGTTTAAGGGTGAAAAGTGTACAAAAGTAATAATTTAGTGGCCGACTAGACAATTTACTTATTTTATTTGGTAATGTGAGCACTTTGTTTTTTTGTCTTTATCAAGTGTACGCATTGCACTTCTAGACGACTAAACCCATATTCTATTTTTTTTAATTAATTAGGAGAAGCTACGATTGATTGGTTAACAAAAATTATGCCCTCCGTTTGGATTTGGCTGTTTTTAAGGGTGTTTTTAAAATATTTTATTGTAAGCAATGTAGGTGAAAAACTTTTACTATAGATGAGGTTATTTTTAGGTTATTTTTGTGTTTTTGGTGTTTTTTGAGGTTGTTTTTTTATGTTTTTGGTGTTTTTAAAGTTGTTTTTTGTGTTTTTGAGATTTTTTTGTGTTTTTGACAGTTTTAAAGTTATTTTTGGTGTTTTTTAGATTGTTTTTGTTTGTATATTACAATAATAATATATATGAAAAATTTGTTTTTCAAAAAATGGCCAATCCAAACAGAGCATGAATTAAAGGAAAAAAATAAGAAACACTGTAAGCTTTAGTTTAAGAGTAAATCTTATATACACTGACAGTGTATACACTATCACCGTTGGATTCATGACATATGTGTAAGAGTTAAATTTAATACACTGACAGTGTATGCTGCAATGTTTTAACCATAAGTATTGCCCACCTTCCATGTGTGAGTTGTACGTAATTTATGACTCTTTTTTTTTTGGAAAAATATAATTTACGACTTTATGTATCTATCAAAGAATTAGACTACAATTTACTACATTATTGGGTTAAAAAAAAAAAAAGAGAATGAGTCTATACAGCTTAACCAATCAAAACGAGACTGGTTTGCAAGTATTTAGCTCAGAATACATAAAGCAGTTTGCAATAAAAGTACGCGCATATGCAGATATTTGCATAACCGCCACTTCTCTATTATTTTATCTAAAGTCTTTCGGTAACCGTGACAGTACCGACACAGGATATTTTCACCAACTTAATGCTCTCTTTTTTGTTACAAAACTAAAAACTTGGACTTGGCAGGACGGTTGTCGGTTGATGTCCCAGAGCAGTATAACTCCCTCTGTACAAATTGTAATTCCTTCTAACTACTCGTACATATTTATAGTAAAAGGTACGATATTCTGTTACTGTTAATGTGAATTTTCTATATAATCATTGCATGTTTGTTGTGAAATTTTATAAGTAATTCAAGTAGAATTACAAATTATTCGATAAAGTTACATTTTGTTTAAGAACGACTAATTTGACAATCTTCTCTGCCCCAAATCCTTGAGGCGTGGGATAATGAGTGTGTTTGAATAGTAAATTATTTGAAATAATTTTTAAAAAATAATAATATTTTTTTAATATGATACATATGAAATAAAAAGTTAATTAAAAAATGTTTGATGATGCAAGGCAAATAAATTTTGACAAAGAATACTAGTAGTTAAAGATTGCTCCAGAGTTCAAGGGTTCAAACCTTGCCTCCCATCAAGGTGTTTCAATATGAGGTTTATTCTAAATCCGTACGTGCACTTGTCTGGTTTGATGGTGGTTCAGTCCCCGTCAGGTTCTCCCGACTCAATTGAGTCTTCTCATAGAGTAGATTGACTAGATTCCCCTTCCCCGTCCCCTAGGAATAGGAGTAGGTTAGACATGTGCCCGTTGCGAGAAAAAAAGAAAAGAAAAGAAAAGGTGGCTCTAGAACTAGTAGCATCTGATTAAATAATTACACGTGAGAAAGTATTCTCTTTTTATGAATTACTCAAATACTAGTTTGGTGGTTTGATCAGGACAGATACAGTACACATGAATCATGTCAGAATTGACAAGGACATGGACTCCCCCTCTCGGTGTCCGTTAGACCAAAGCAAC